GCGGTCTAAAATAAGCTCGTTCGAAAGGAGACACCCTGAAGTTACTGGGTCATTATAGAATTATGCTACAGGTTGATTCGTTTTACAGCCCTGCTTAATTAATCCTTTCGAAACGAGAACGCATCTCGAAATTTCGGACGCCATTTCATGAGCTAGCCCACCTACCGTAGTTCACAGACATTCTTTGGCTGTCACATTCCTAGCTTGGTTGGCCAATATTTATGATAGCTAATTATAGCAGGTTTCAGATTGAAAAAGCGAGATAAGGTAAGCATTTTCTGAAGAAACAGGGAAAGTAAGCGCCAAAAAAGAGGAAGTGTGTAGAATTTAATCAAAGTTCACTGCCAAGACAAGACTCTCAAAAATTGCTCCGTATTTGAACAGTTTGACCAAACAATCTTGTCGTTTATCCATCGTCTTCATGATGTCACCGTAAAATCGGTGTGATTAACTCCTGGAATCGAATTTTAAGTAAGAGAATTATGCGGCATTGAGCTCACATCATCTTCTCTGTTCGAACCTCTTTGATTTGCAAGACCAGATCATTGCGAACATTGCAACGTGAACGGCGACTTTATTGCTGACAACTCGGTCAAAGTCGAGCGTTGGCGTGAGCACTTTGAGCACCATTTAAACGTCGATACCCAATCTGCCTCGCCCTTGCTCTCCTCTTCAGCGGAGTTTCTTCCCTCTCCTACCTATGCAGTGACATGCGACCCACCCTCTGAAGGAGAAGTCGCCGATGCCATACGAAAGTTGCGCAACAATAAAGCAACCGGAGAAGATGGTATACCCGCTGAAATCTTCAAGTCTTGTGTCGACACCCTGGAGCCCTGGCTCCATGAGGTGATTGAACGAGCATGGAGAGACGAGGTTGTTCCTGATGACTGGGACTTAGGCATCCTTGAACCTATCCTTAAGAAGGGAGATAAGATGAGATGCGAGAACTACCGCGGCATAAGTCTCATCGACGTTGCTGCAAAGATCTTCGCTATTGTCCTACTCAGGCGATTCCAGGCTGTGCGTGACTCAAGGACGAGGCCCAACCAAGGCTATTGCGTGCTGGACGTGGATGCGCAGACCAGATATTCACACTGAGGCGCATTCTCGAATTTCGCCATAGCTACCAACAACCGACGGCCGTCTGCTTCATTGACTTTGCCGCCGCGTTCGATTTCGTTCACCATGAGTCCCTGTGGCGGATAATGGCGCTAGACGGTGTATCAGCAAAAATCATCGCCATGATGAAGGCTTATTATCGCCCCACTACTGCGAGAGTCCTGGTGCGCAACAATCTTTCCTAACCGTTCAGTATTCTCTCGGGCGTCCGGCAGGGTTGAATCCTGTCACCCGTACTGTTCAACTGTGCTATTGACTGGATCCTCGGGAGGGCTCTACGCGAGAGTGACGGCGTTGAGTTTGCACCCGGACTGATTCCGACCATGCCGATGATATCGCCTTACTTGCTTCAAGTTTTGGTGATCTATAGTCTATGGTATCACGGGTGAACGAGGTTGCTAAATTCGGTTTATCCATAAACGCTGGGAAGACCAAAATGTTGTCAAGTTGCATCCCCGACCAGGAGAAGGCATGCCTCGGTATTGATGGCTGTCAACTTGAAGAAGTAGACAGTTTTAAATACCTCGGGACAAGGCTGCTGCCTAATGGACAGAGTAAGGACGACATTGACTCCCGCTAGGTTTTCTTAAGCCTTCGGGAATGCCTATGGAAGCAACGTGACCTCTCCATCGCCACTAAGATTCGCGTGTACCGTACATCTGTCCGGTCTGTCCTTCTCTACGGTTGTGAATGCTGGGCTTTGCGCGTGGAGGACGAGCGTAAACTGGAGGTATTTGGCCACCACTGCTTGAGAACTATCCTTCGAGTGAAGTTCACCGACTTCGTCTCAAATGAGACAACTCGCGCTTGCGGCGACAACAGCGCAAGGATAACTAACGCAATGCAAGAAAGACGATAGAGGTGGTTCGGACATGTTCTTCGTCGTTCACCTCAGGAGCTAAGTGTTACTGCCCTCGATCCGGCACCGTTGCTCCATTGGAGGCGTCGAAGAGGCGGTCAGTTGAAAACCTGGCTCGACACAGTTCGTTAAGACATGGAGGTGGTTCTTGGACCTTCCGTGTTCGGTCTACGTCGTTGGCGAAAGGAATGGGTTGAGTTGTGCAGATCTGCTGTCGCGGATCGTCACGCGTGGAGAGGTACAGTTCGGGACACCATCGAGGCCGGCTAGATCAGGCATGATCGCAGCCGTATCAAGTACAAGTAAGTTGCGAGCAGTCACGAGCTCAGTGATTTCTATGACACCATTCTTTGCCTTGTCACGCACTTATCCGTCCCTCTGCCTTCACCGAGTCAGATTTCACAGCGCACCTCACTGGTTTCTTGCGGTGATGGCAACAGTCATCAGTGTGTGGCTGCTGTATTGAACAGACTTTTGAGGAGTTATGGAAGGAGCTGGGCACCAAAACAGGGACCAATAAGCAGTGAGCAACTTCTTCCGCTATTTCATTTCGAGTGAGGACCATTTCCTGAAATGGGCAGCCAGCGCTGGATGTACAAGCGCCTCTGTTATTAAAGCCATTTGCAATCCATCGAGTAGGAGGGCACTGCAAAATTTCAATCCAAGGTAAATTGTCCGTCTCATGTACTGAGGTCCTTCATTAGTTAGACATGAATCAATAAGAACTCCTTCGGTTGAGTAACTGTTTCAACTCACCCTTTGTCGGCTACCGCTCGTCAATACGAAGGATTATTCATTACTGGCAGCCAATCGTGTTCGTTTTCTACCCAGCCAATTGGCTGTGACTTTCTCACATGAACTGCTACCAGTCCTTTAAATTATCTGGTTGAAGTGTCCGCACAGTTAATATTCTTTGTCATGCAAAGGACACAAGTGAAAACTCGATGCAGACGATCGTCAAGATCAGCCCTCACAGACAGCCTAAAATAAAATAGTAGATAGCAAATGTATTTGTTTCTATGCATTGAGTTCTAATCATATGGATGTTGAATAGGCAGCCGTAATAGCCGTGGGCAACGTCTTCTTTTCCATGTCCTTGAAAACCGCAATCACTGACATGTTTCCCCATAATTTAGCGCATCCAAAAGACTCATCAGAAAATAAAAAATAATATCACACATTAGATCTTATCATAAATTATCCTTCCGCTGGACTTCACCTGCTTACTGTTTGTGGCGTGCACCCACACGTGAAAAGGGTCCTAATGTAAAAAAATCGATATTTTGCAGAAATTGAAACCCCGCTGCCCGCGGTCGTTGGCTCAGGTACACCACCTGTTGTCGCGCTAAAATTATGCAGGAACCCGCGAACGCCGCGACCAGTAGCCTTCAGCACGCCGTGGTATTCGAAAAAAGCTACTCCAAGGACCTCCTAGTGAGTCCAGTGCGACGGTATGTCCTGGCCTTCATGTCCAGGAGTTCTGAGGACTGGGCTGCCAATGTGGCCGTACTGGAAGCTGCTGCTCCAAAATTGCACCAAAAGGCCCACATGGTTTGCATTGACATCGACGTGAAGGAACACGTCTACCTGATGAATCTCTTCGGCATTCGTCCAGAGGACTGTCCCACCTACCGTTTTGCCTTACTGACAGACCGTCTGGTGAAGTACCGTCCCGAGAATGCGCAGTTCACACCGCATGCAGTAGCCGCCTTTGCCAAGGCAGCCCGCAAGGGCAATTTAAAGCCCCATCTGCTCGGCCAAGAACCTCCCGCCGACTGGGATAAATTGACCGTCAAGAGGCTAGTACAACGCACTTTCAGAGACTGTGTCCTGGACCCTAGACAGTGCGTCTTTGTCAACTTCTACGCCCCCTGGTGCGTTCACAGCCAGGCCTTCTCGAGCACCTGGGAGGAGGTGGCGGCCAGGTGTGCAGACATGCCAGACGTTGTGTTCGCACAGATGGATGCCACGCAAAATGAGGTAGAAGGACAGTATATCCGATGCTATCCCACCATCAAGTGTTTCCGCAAGGGAGACAATAAAGAGGTTCAGTTTTGTGAGGAACGCACAGTTGAGAAACTTATGCAATTCGTCCTCACCAACAGCCAAATCAGTTGGCTTGAATCCGCGATGGTTCAGGGCACATGAAATGAACCAGAGGTGTTTGTGTTGAAACACTAAATTTACTTTTGAATTTCTGGTTTGCTTGCATGGGACATGGGTTGTTGCCACCTCGCTAACATGACTGCGGGTAGAAGGAAATCGGCAGCTCCGATAAGTCCGGTTCTAATATGTGACAAGGAGGAGTAATTCACACATGGGCAAAAT